TTCATATACCTATATATAAATCGGAATAGGATAAAAAAGACACTAACAAAATAGCAACGGACAAAAAAGCTCTATACAAAAAAGCTACGGATAAAATCAACAGATAAAAAAGACACGAAATAAGCTATATTGTATTGCTACATTGATATATTATACAATGTATATATCCACATTCAACTTTTTTTTATACATTATTTTCGTGTTAAAACAATTTAATACAATTTATGTAAACTTTTTTTAGGAAAAAAAAATTATCAATAATACGAAAATAAGTGTAACAGGTTATTTATCTATATTACATATTTTAAATTACCCTATAATATTATTATCAAAAAAAAATAGTAGACCGCGATAAACTATAAATCGTCTGACTAATCTACACTAATTATACTAGTCTTATCGCACATTATCTTAATATTACTATTTACTATTGTTGTTGTTTACCAGGAATCAATCAAAGTATTTGAAGGAATCAATTTTTTGAGAAAAATTATGCCACCGGAAGCAACAGGTTTAATCAATTATTTTGATACTACTTATGTACACCGGTCTTACAGGTGTGTTAGGTATAAACAAAATAATGGAATCAAATCAATTTTCGTATATCAGACTTCGAAATATTCCACTACGCTACATTGCCTACATTTACCATCAACGAGAAACGTCATAAGCCACTCTTGACAATTTACATCAGATCCAAAACATAACAAAAGGATAGAACTATAATTGTTTTTCAATATCAGTTGATTACAATTTACAATCATCCTTTTGTTTGGACTTAATTTAAAAAAAAATGAGATTAGAGTTGATTCGGATGAAACAAAATTAGTTTAATTTACAGTTTACCTAGACAATTAAAATCTCAAACAAAACATAAAAAAGTATGAAAACATACAGTCAACATTTTTTATGTAGCGATGGTTCAAACGAACGAACAATTTTCGAATTTTTGACAGCTATTTCCAACACTCTACTATCGTTTTAATTATTATTGGTTATTCATTTTCCATTTTACTATTACATAATAATTTTTAGTTTTAAAATAAATAATAACACATTGTATTAAATATTGTCTTACCACATAAATATATTTATTATTTAGAATAAATAAATATATTATATATTCTTTAAAAAAATTTTGAAAGTAACGGAAGCGAGTACTTACAGCTTATTTCGTGTCATTATTTTGTCCAGTTTATTTTTTGTAAGTGACTTTTTATCATCCTAGATTTATATAATCATATAAATAAATATATAATAATATATATTGTGTAGGTTGTAAGTATATCGGTATAATATACATATTATAATATTACAATGTACCAAGTATGCAATAATAATAATTCTTAGTAGGTATCACTGTATAAATGTCTCATGAATTAATAATTATTATATTGTATATAATAATCACGAACTAATATAATAATACAAAAATATCTTAATTCGTGGTAGGTATTTTACCATACCTATGTAAAACGATTGCAGGTACCATACATTATACAATCTACATATTACATATACTGATATAGGTACCTACGTCCTACGAATAAGGTATACCTACAATATACACAATACTATTGAACCATGTACTATGTCCACTGTCCAATGACTTGCAGACAAAAATTTAGATTGTTTTTTGTATTCCCTTCACCGTGTATAATAAATATTATCGTCAATGTCAGAATTCAGTTGTTTTCAGTAATGACGCCGGCCATTATAGTATTGACAACGTTTAATATTCGGTTAGTCAATGTTGGCATGTTGCTATAGCTATATTGATTAGGGCTACAACCTATTTGTGCACAATATACAAACAGTAGAAACCTTATTTCAAAGAAATTTAAGTACCTAATTTAAGTTTTAACCACGTATATAGGAATATAGGATGTACATAACCTACGTATCTCTAAATTTTCGAATTGGCCATTACTGATGGACGATGGTGGAAAATTACCATACTCATACAATATTTTCTGTCACCCTTTATAAGGCTTATAATATATTATAACCCCTATAGGGGTATTTAGTCATATTCTGGTTTCAAAGGCTGACGGGTTTAAAAATGTTTCCGGAAATATTTAATTACTATCATAGCTTCTTTAGCAAGTCATTATTTACAATTTTAATGATAAAAAAAAAAATTATTTTTAATTACAATCAGTTTTACAATTAAGTATTTAATTCATTAAAATAATTTGAAGTACCTACCTAGGTACTTATTTATTATTTTGTGGTACTCGTTTTATTGAGATTAATGCTGGTCCAACACGAGTGCAAAGCACAGTAATCGCGACTATAACGATTAACGTTACTGATAGATGACAACTGAAGGGAAACCATGATTGAAAATAATTGTTATGCTTTAAATTTTAAGAGTATTCGGAGCTCTCTCGTTGCATAGTCGTGCGGGACCTGCCTAAAACACCTTGTGGCTTGTACTGTATCTACAAGCTGATTTGTAGATCCCCTCTTATTACTAACACTAAATACCTAGGTTCATTGAATTCCAATAATACTTTCTTGATTTTTAATTGGAATGACAAAAATCTGAATATTAAAAACTTCAAGAGATTGTGGTAAATAGGAAAATAATAAAAATGTAACTCAGTAATAATGAGGGTAGAGCAATTAAACTAGCTTAAATTTTAGATATTAATGACTTAATGGGAATATGAGATGGATTGGATAATATTATCATACTATTCATACTGCATATAATAAAGTATATTATAATTTATAATGATTTTAATCCAGAAATACGTCGACGTGTTCTTAACTTTTCTCTTAAATTATGAGAGCTGTAAGTTAATCGAAAACATTAAAAACTAAAAAGGGGTTATCGAGTAGATACAGAATATGAAATTTAAAAATAAAAAATAAATTAACTTTTTAGCCGTTAAGAAAATAGTCAATTTTAGCTAGATTTTTCTTTAGTAGGTATATTATTATAATACGCAGTTGCAGATCTCCGAAACTAAAAAACAGATTTTGTTGTTTAGTGTCTTGTAAGAATCACATGGCTGATGGCTAGGATATAAGTGGTTTCGACCTTTATCTTTAATGGTTAATTTACTACTGAGTGTCAGAGTATAGACCATTAAAGTTGTAGTGTTGTACACTTGAACATCATAAAACACACACTAACACACACACACACACACACACACATATTATAAACTTATGTTTTATCGTATTTAGATAAGATATAAGTACCAAAGTTCGTTTAAAATTTAAGAGGGCTAAAAATAAGAAGAAATAACTTAGGTTCCGTAAAAATAGTACAATACTATAAATAATAAAAAAGGGTTAATATTTTAGAAACAAAAAAGTTCGTTCTGGTTCTTAACATTTTTCATTTCTAGCCTTGCCTAAAGTACCTATAATACTTCGTTTAATACTTTAATCCTATTGTAATACAATATAGATATACATACCAATACCTACTTAATAATTCTTTAAAAATAAAAAAAGTGTACCTACATACAGTCATACAGACCCCAACTTGGCAATCGCTTTTTCGGTTTTCCTGCCCACCAATTTTGTACATTATATATTCTCATTATATAAATGATAAATAAAAAAATTGCCTGTATTGTTAATAAATTACTTTTCACTATTGTATTACACTGTATAATACATAGGGTACCTATTACTATATTTTTTCATTTTATTAATCGTTATACATATATCCAGAACTCAGAAGATTTCCCCAATTTTAGCATCCACCTATAGCTGAATATTGCTACGATGCTGGAAACAAGTAACATCAGTTTGAACAAATTCTATTGATTCACCGATTCAAGCAATAAAGGAAATAGGAATCACTTTGGGCCTCTGTAAACGATTATTCATAATTATTATAATCTAGTACCTATTCTGATAAACAAATAACAATCAACAAAGGTCCTCGGCGTTCCGTCTAATGACACCTCGTAATGTAGTATGACGTATGTACTAATGCCTAATATACTCCAATGTAGTAGTAAATAGTAAATACTAAGTAGGTACTAATAGTAATCTTTAATCTATGAATGTATTATGTAATATGTGGTAATGTAGTAATGAGCAATGTACATTGTACGATGGTGTCGATGTGACGATGCACCACTTTACGTCTGTCACAGCATGGGACATGGACATTGATCATATTATTTTGATTTATAGATTAAATAGACCTTATACTAGTAATTATACTACGTCTTATAAGTTTTTTTTTTGTCACGATAAACCGATAAGGTCTATAATTATTATTTATTACACAGAAATACACTGCATAGACATTATACTAAGGTAACTAATGGCCTTTGTTGTCGATGTTATTGTGATCAATAAAAAAAAAATATACATATACTAAGGTATAAGGTCTGTGGAGATTGGAAATCACAGATTTATAAAATATAAAAATATATTTTTTATATTCGTGAATTCGTGATGGAAATAGAGAATAATTGATCGAAATCCGTGATATCATTATATCATGATAAGTGGTAATACTCTGTTATCACGTCCACGTGACTGCAGTGTCCAATGACGGAACCGAACGCTGATCGTATGATCCGGGAAGCTGCTGATTCGAGTAGCGTTTTTGTTGGCACCGCCGTTCCAATGTTTTTAAACGATGCTTATCAGTTATCAATAACGGTACTCGAAGGTCCGACAATAACAAAATATAAAACCAACTGGCAACTGCTAACTACCAAGTACCAAGTGGACTCGAGACAGAAAATAAAATTTAAAAATACGTTTCGGTAATTTTGCATCTAACCCGGATCCCGTTTTATTCTTGGCTTATCTTACTGTACATAAAGTATAGAAATGTTGTTCCTCTTTGGATCTTTCACTAATTATTCCAGTCATCTCACGATGGCGTCCATAATTCTCGTCTAGTGCATCAAAGTCCAACTTTTACTAGTGTGTTAATCATATCATAATTGAACAAACGGTTGAATTTTAATATATTTTAGTACTTGATTGTGTCCAGATCTCTGAGGAGAGATCCCATGGATTCGAGTAATGCTGCGAATGTATCAGACGATGAAGAATCGTTTTATGGCGTTTTTGTGGAATCTGATGTTGACAACAGCAGTAAGTTTTGTCATACCATTTTTTTTGTTCTAACTATTTTTTATTTAAATTAATACCATTGTTTGAAACCATAGGCACTCCTAGAGTGTTCACTAATTTTCAAGAAACACTTTCTGCAGTCAAATCCAACAAAACCTCCAGATTCAAGCTGTTCAGATCAGCAACTGAAGCTGAACGATTTAGCGTTTTTGGGCAAGAATTACCTATAAAACAGATAGAAAAAAGTACACCTAATGTATCTACTAGTTTTACTTTTAAGTCTCTAAAATCTGAAGATCTGGTTGCATTTCGTCGTCTAATTGAAAGTGGAGAATTAGATAAGGTGAAACTGGCTGTGAATTCAAATCCGAGGTTTCTTGTTAGCAGTGGTGATACACCATCAATAATTCAAGTAAAATATTTTAAAGCTAGATAATATGTTGGCTACTGAATTATATATTATATAGGTACTACGAGGTTCTATTAATAATAAACCTTTTATTTTTTATCCTTTTCACTGTTACACTGTTTATGTTCTGCAACGTACCTATATTCTATAAAAATATCATTTTTTTTTCAAATTTAAATTTGAGATCTAATTATTAAAGTTTAAAATTATATGAGCAAGGTTTTCTTTAAAATGTACGGTTACTGGCAAATGGTAATATTATAAAATACAGAATCTTAATAGTAGTGGAGCAGTTAATGGTATAAATGTTTGGACGTAATAATACAACTAGAACAGTGAAAGGGTAATTAACACTTTTTGTCTACATAACAAATAAAAATAAAACAAAGTGGAAACTATTTTATATCCTATTTTGTTCTACATTATTATAAAACAAAACAATTTTTATTTTATATATAATTTATGTTTACAAACTGTTAAGCTTTGGTATGTTTTGAATTTATTCACCTTACAGTTTTGTATTCAAAATTTTTTTACCCAATAAATGTAGGTGTTATAAACTTTTAATTTTCAAGTTTATTAAAACAGTTGGAAATCTTAAAAGTATTTTGAGCATCACTAAATATTTTTTTTTTTTTTTTGACCAGGAAGGATGTCGGTATAATGCTATGCATGTAGCAGCTCGATTCAACCAACCACAAATTGTTCATTTTATAATGGAGTGTGTTACTAGTTCAGAATTTATAAAAAGTTTATATGGTACAGAAGAGTCATATCTATCACGAAGTGAAATCATCACGGATTTGTACTTAAACACACCTGATAAAGCTGCAAATGATACTCCTCTACACATTGCCTCAAAATTTGGCCATGTGGATGTAGTTAGAGAGCTTATTTCATATGATAAGTGTATACTAACATCTCTAAATAAATATCTCCAAACCCCTAAAGATGTAAGTTTCATTGATGAATTAAATTGTTATTCAAAACTAAAATACTATATAAAATAACATAGGTTATATGCTCGAGAAACAACAAGGAAATGTATAATGATATATTACATTTAATAGAGAATGGATTTTTTGTACCTATGTGGAAATCTGATGATGATTGTGCTCAACCAACAATTGGCAAACCATTTTCACCTAAATCATCAACAATAATTCCACCATTACAAGTGATAATTATAATATATTTTAAGAAATTTACTATTAACATAATTACATTTTATTATATTGTTTTTTTTAGGATGACAATCTTAAGTCATTAAATCCTATACTTGAAATAAGAGCTGTGGCCGGACCAATGAATGAATCACAAGCCCTAAAGTTTTGGAAGGATTGGAAATCACCCGTGCGAAAAACATTATTATCTCCTTCACCAAAAAAGTCTCCATCAAGCCCAAAACAAAATGAGTTTAAAAATAAAAGTATTGAAAAAACAGGAAGGTAATTTAAACTTTATAATTTTTTTATTTTTAATCACTTATACGTGTACTGTTTATTTTAATAAATTATAGAAATTTAGCTGAAAAAGAGAAAGTTGGTTGGGCTGAATATTGGCCCTTCCTTGATAAAATAGTAGATCTTAAATCAAATAGAGGCTTAGATCTACTTGAAAAATACTTAAGACAAAGATTTAGTATGAAAGAACAAGATTATCCTGTAATAGCACCACCACGAGTTGCTTTGCTAAGTCCTATGGGTGAATTGTGTAAAGCATTAGAGTCTATGAGAATTGGAGCTAATCTAAATAGACGAAGTCCTCGAGAAAATACTGTTGTATCTTATACTTGTGTTGTAAAATCTTGTAAAGTATGTTTAAACTAAAACAGTTTTATTAATAAAATACAGTAATTGTAAATTCTTATTTTTTAGGTTTTAGCAGAACGTTTATCGAATGTAATTATATCTGAATATAAAAATATGCTAGGCATTGAATCATTAGCTATTCGGTTATGTCATGAAGTTAGACATTTAATGGTTTTGGAAGATAGCTTTTACTCTGATAGTCGTTTCGATTCAAAGGTTAAAGGAAGAATTCATGGAAGAGTAGCTGAGCATCTTTGTCAGTTGTTAATTAATAATTTGGAACTTGTCAGCAATGTTTCTTTAATAGTTACAAAACTCCAAAAGTATTATGCGTGAGTAAATTTCAAAGAGAACATATCTTCAAGTGTTGTCTCCGTCCCACAAGGGCATAACATAGTAAATTTACACTCAGCAGATAACGTTTAGCTCCTTTAGTTTAAAAATTAAAGTGAATTGACCTATTATGAAACTTGATGATAAGAACCCTATCTGTGTTCGTAAGTTGGTTTTTTAAAATACTTCAATTTTTTAGCAAGTTATGCGTTTATAATATAGCTTAAATTAAAAATGGTCATTACTCGCTGTATAATTGAAAAAAAAAACCAACATACGAACAAAGATAATGTTCTTACCATCAAGTTTCTAATTTTTAATTTTACAGAGCTAAACGTTATCTGCTGAGCTTAAATTTGTTATGTAACGCACTTGTAAGACGGAGACAACAAATGTCCGTGTGGCGTACTTTTAATATTAGAGTGAATTAATGTACATATTATATAACTTAAAATTAAGAACTTAATCTGTGTTTGGATCTTTATTTTTTACAATATTTTAATTTTTAAGCGACATGAGCATTTTTAAATTGTAATGTTATATATTATACAGCATTATTATTGATGACAGGGGAGGATTGGCGAATTTTTCCGGCGCGGGAAATATGGATCAAACCGGCCCTGCACCGCAAATGTAACCCCACCAAAAAAAAAACACTCATCATTTTACTCAAATTTCAAAATTTGTTTAGTTTCACCCATAAATTAGTAAAATATATAATAGGTACCTATAATTAAAGTTATAACAGTTTAGAGTTAGTCAGATAAGGTTAACCTGTTCAGACTGTTCTAACTCGAACTTGAAGTTTGATCTTATTACATTTTAGATTCTGAGCGAAGTGATGAATGTATTGATTTTACAGTGATATGTTTTTTTTTATTTTTTTATTTTTGCTTCTGTCATCAAATTTTAGGACAGTAAAAATAGTAAATACTTAGATTTTCTTCAACTAGATTCACTTTTCTGATAGGAAAGTTAATCTAGTTGGTACTTTGGGGGGTCAAAAATAAAAATGTCCAGGTATTGTTTCAAAAGTGCGGTGAAAAACAAAAGAAAAATTAAGTAAATAGGGGAATTTTCACGCAAAATCTGTTTTCGAGAAAATCGATTTTGGTTTTTGAAGCAATTTCAAAATAAATATGACTGTAGGTACACGAAATTTTGACCGAATGTTTATATTAGCATTTTCTATACACCATAACATTTTGACTTACTTTGAGCTGTTTACGGACATTTTCAGTTTTTTTTTCTATAAATATCAATAAAATTTTATAAATTCGTAAAAAAATTTTAAAACACATTTTTAATACAAAATTCCTCATAAGTTTGTCTACCTTTATCAAAAAAAAAAATGTCAACAAAAAAGTCAAATTAAATTTGTATGACCGTTTGAAATTCAAATTTTTATAAATTTTAACTTAAATATTAGCATTTTGTATACACCATACAATTTTGAAAATAATTATCTCTTTTTGATGTTTTAACAGACCATTTCAAATTTTAATTTTTTTAGTTTTTTGTTAAATAAATACCAATAAAATTGTATTTGTTGGGCCAAAAAGCCTGAAAATATAATACAAGGCTCCTGATATATTGTTACAATATCAGTTGAAAAATATTAAATATAGATAGCCATACATTTTTTTTGTAAGCAATTAAAGCTCAAATTTTGACAAGATTTATCAAAATTTAATAATTATTTTGTTGTTAAAAATTTATAAAATGTTCAACATGTTGTTTGAAAATTTAAAACAATTTTCCAAGTAAATAGGTTCCATTAACCATTTTTTCTTATTTTCTCGTACCTTTTCAGCGCCACCCTTCTTTCGTTTTTCACCAGCATCACGCATAATTTAAATTGCACAGTTCAATTGAATTTGTACACTAAACACATTTCTGTAAGTACAGTAACTCGTTTGTGTAAAAAGTTCAAAATCAAAAAAAAAAATACAAATAATGATAAGATAAAGTTATCAATGTTATCACGCAACTAAATTCTACCATAGAGTATAAAATATAAATACCACGGACTAAGATAAACAGGACTGGAAACGATAGACGGGAGGAGTGCGACTGAAATGGCTCACTTCCCGCCCTTGCCACACAATATACTATTAATATTATCAAAGTTTGTATACATTGTTAGTAGGGCCGAAATAAAAAAAGAGAGGTCTAAAAATACAGTAGGCTACACCCAAAATGCAGGTCTATAAATTGCCCATGAATAAAATGCTAATATTAAAACAAAAGGTTTGTCAATTAAAAATGTTAATATGTAACACGGATGACTTGCAGCGCTCGGCGGTTTTAAGAACTACACCGCCGTAAAAAAATCTGACCGAAAATATTCCTTCCGACCACGGACCACGATTAAAGATAGTATGGTTGCGTGACGACGACCAAAAATGCGGCGATAGAAGTGCTTAAGTCTAAACTGACTGCCTAGTGCTGCTATCTAGTAGTTATATGTAGAAAATACGAGTTTTTACATATAACCACTAGATATGTAATTACTAATTCATTGTCATACGTCGATATTAGCTTTTTTAATTTTTTTGATATTAACATTGGAAAAAATAAATTAAAAAGTCAACACATTTTACAGTTACATATCACACCTTTCTTTAACTGCTTCCTTTGATAACATACCTGTAAACATTTTATTTTGACAAACATTCATTGTTTTTTCAGGTATAAATAGGTATATTAATTTTGCAGATTTGCTTTACATTGTTTTTAATGTTCTCTGTATCTTTTTAAGTACCTAAATAATGAATAATGATTCAAACCAGAATTCCAACAGCTTATTATGTCGCATTCATTAAAATGAGAAGCACATACGCGATGGTTTTTTTTTAATTTCATGCCTAAAGCCTCTTCCCATTTATATTTTTCCAACTCATTCTTCGGTACTCCAAAAGTGGTGTTTGCAACAGAATGTGGTGAGCGAATGCAACAAGACATTTTTGGGCTAGTTGTAACTTTTAATTAAAAGAATAATTCACAATTTTTTATATAGTATATTAGAACGAGATGTTATGTCAGTGTGTAAAATACTGTAGTAAATCACAGACGATAAAAAAAAACAAATTCCTGAATCCCGATCGTACGATACCTAAATTAATAAATATAATAATATATTTATACACAATTACACTGTGGTCTACCGCCATGCTATCTATGATTGCAGTCAAAACCACATATATTAATTCTTGTGAATTTATTGATCAGTAGACAGCGCCACCAAGCAGTCAGATTAACTGTAAGCACTATCGTATCCGCTTCAGCCTATACATTATCATACGTCGTCACGCAACCATACTATCTTTAATCGTGCCACGGACTATATAAGATAAACAGGACTGGAAACGATAGACGGGAGGAGTGTGGGTAGCCGGAACCATAGTGTAACGCTTGTAGTACATGGACAAATGTGGCTCTATCTATTGATAATATTTAGCATTTGTTACACATATATTTATTTGCATATTATTTTTGTTTTATAATGTGGGGCGACAATCCAAAACGTACTATTGCCAAAATTGAAGAAATTGAGTTACATAATGATTCTTATAGAAATTAAGGCAGGGAATCGAATAGTGCAATCAAATTGTGACAAAACGTACTATTTCCCTTGTTAAAATCAATCTGAAACTCATAAATGACGCAAAACGCACTATTTCCAAAGCCAAAATTTGTCTAAATGCACTATTTCCAAAATTACGTCAAAACGTAGTATTGTCCATGTTAAATAGTTTGTTTATTGACAAATACGTACCAATTACTCGAATTGTACAAAACGTACAATTTCCAAAGTAGGCTCATATGTACTATTTCCCTAGTATGAAGATAGGGAATATAATTAAATTGAATACATAACGTACTATTTCCCTAGTATGAAGATAGGGAATATAATTAAATTGAATACATAACGTACTATTTCCAAAATCGTGGAAAAAACGGGTACATTTACAAAATATAACATCACCTTTACCTATACCTACCTAATTGATTTTGCTTTAAAATATAATTAGGTATTCAGCTTATATTCTATGTATTAATGTATATTGTTTTCAACAATCATTTAAAATTGAATCAATACAGTGTATACTATATTACTATGTACTTTAAACAACAAATTTATTTCAGTTAGATATATAAGCAAAGATTATTAAAGAATTAATAAAAACTTACAAGTTACAAGGATATATTTATTTTTTATACTGTAACGAATAATGGTGATCACTGGACACTGATGTATTAATATTTCGTAGAATGGATCATAGATGGCGTTAAAATCGCACTTGTACCAGAAGCGTTACACTGTAGTTCCATAGATGACTATCTCGTTTCCAGTCCTGTATATCTTAGTCCGTGATAAATACCACAGATATAGATAATAAACTAGATTGCTAACTAGTGTTATCAGCTGTCGCCAAAAAACGCCATGTTTGTTGTGGGCTATGAAGTGTTATCATAATAATACGATTAACGTGATACTTAATTTATTAAACAAAAGACAAAAGTTACACAAATCAATTTTGTTTAATAATTTGTAAGTTGTAGTCATACATATTTTGTGCATCTGAAATAGATAAATATTACCTATGTATTATGTTGTTTTTAGTAGTAAGATTATTTTTTTTAAGATACTTTAGTAGGAAGTTTTTTTTTTAATTGTTATTATTAGTTAGTACATTATTAAATATTTCTGAGTTTATAACACAGACTTCTTGTATTTTATAATATAGAAATATGTGGTTTATAATAAATAATAATAATAATAATATTATCATAATAACATTTATTTTATCTGCAGTATTATCACAGAATAACCAGAAGAGACACCTTTTCAGTTTAACATGGGTTCTTATGGGGCACAGATTTGCAACACCTGGTGGAATATCAGTGCTGCCGGTAGAAAGATAATTCCCATTATTCTTTGTTTCTAGCGCGACTGATATTCCCTGAACAGAGGCAATTAGTAATTACCTTTAGCCGACGATTATAAAGAATCTTTATAATCGTGCTTTAGCCTAACCTAATAAGTAATAAAGTTGTAAGTTGCAAGTTTGCAACTTGCTTACTCGCCTCAGTGTCTTTTGTGTTTATGTTCCAAAATATGAAGTCTGTACTCTGTAAAGTGAATAACTGATTTTTCAATTTCTGTGTTAGTTAATTTTTATTTGAATTATAAAATGTATATTTTAAATTAATAACATAACATTTTTTGTCTAGCATAGGTAAGTGTAGATCATGAAATCGTCTGCACATAAAAAGCAATCTAAGGCTTCAGGTTTAAAGGTGCCGATTTTGAATTCTAAGAAGTCAAATAGAAAATCATTTAGTCCGGGTTGTAAATCATATTGCTCAGTGACTCTCCTTAAGGTCCGAACAGTTGGAAGAGACAATGATTTTTGAAGAAAATTAAACACACCGGGGCTGATGAAATAAATTGTTAGTGCAAATTGCTTTATCTGCTTGGAATATCGTTGGCCGCGCTGTGACTTGTCTTTGTTTTGAAAATTATTCTCTACTATTAAGAAAATTGATGGTGGTAAGTGTTGTTTACAAACTTGCATGCAGTATTCAATTGTGGTTGTATGTTGTAGTTGATTTTTTAATTCTGTTACAGTGTTGAGAGCATTGGTAAGTCTATGTCGAAGTACCCGTTTTCGTGGTGTTCCTGAAGACAAAAAGTTTGGTGTTTGAACACTTGACGAAGATGTTTCAACAGAGGTAGAAGCGTCATATGAATCAACACTGATTGAACCTAAAACAAAGAATAATAGATTATTAATTATTATAATAGGATTAGGCTGATCTGCAAATACAGTAGAAACATTTAAAATAAGCTGTAACATACGTAGTATTGAACAAGATTGAGAAGCAAGAGGTGTCGAACAAGATGGAGGGTCGTCAATTATTGCAAATTGGTCATTTAACGGTATCAATTCTTCACTATTATGTAAGGATGATATTTCATTTTCTACAATGTTACCTAGTTAAAAAAAAATAATAATTACAAATTACTTAATTTTTACTTTCTAATTAGGTAGTGACCAGCTTTGCACAACGCTAGCCAGTGTACACTAGGTATACAAGTAAACAATGAATAATGATGCTTACCTTTAAACAACGTTGGTATTGCGTTAATTGAGAGCCTTGACTTTTCAGCATTTATATACATTTTATCCTCAAAATGTAAGGAACATATTCTATAGTTTTTGTACAAAACTATAGGTTCAATAGAAGGTAAATTTATTGGACCACATTTTTCAATCCAAACGTCACATCTAAATTTGGTTAAAACAAATATATGTATAATATTAAATATAATACACATAGAAATAAAATAGCATTTGATGAATTTGCTTTTTGATTTAACTTCCAATAACTAATTAATATTGCTTACCTTGCAAGATCCTTCGGAAATCTATGGAATTTTGTTCCTTCAATTTTTGAGGAAGAAATGCTGGTGCAGTACAGCAAGCAACATCTATTTCCTCCCGAATACATTTAAAAAACAAAAATTACGATTAATTTGATTTAATTTCTTAATTAATAAAATAATTAAAATATTAATTTCAAATAAGAGCGCAAAAGTCAAACTGATGTTTTGTAAACAATCGCAGATATATGGACAGCTGATGTCGAAAGTTAGTAAACAAACCCTTATCAGTGTGACCAGACAGAAAGAATTTTACATTTTTATTATATACATGGATACACTGATATTCCACAAAGTTGAACAGATTTTTGAGTGCTCAGCGTGTGTCCATTCTGGTTATTCTGTGGTATTATCACAACGATAAGCATTGATAAAAGACCCTAGCCCACAAGCAACATGGCGGAAAATCGGCGTCTCCCGGCTTGCTTGTCAATTTATACTAGTTAGCAATCTAGTTTATTATCTATATCTGTGATAAATACTAAAATACCAATACCACAGATTTCTAAATAATACATTAGCATGAATTGGAGGGATAATTGTGTAAATACCAAAATTCCTACTATGAATTGCAATAGTTTAAGATATTAAAAATAATACCTTTGTAGGTATTTGATTTTTAATATATTTAATGCTTAATTTATAAAAATATAATTTTTTTTGTAATTATATTGTTATAATTATAGCGGCCCTACCGGCCCTCACAAGAACCGGCCCATCGGGAAGATTCCCGATTTCCCGATAGGCCAATCCGCCCCTGATTGATGATAATCTTTCCTGTGAAGTGTTTTTTGTTGATATAATACACAGTATCAACCCCTTCCCTTCCTAAATAGTTATTGGGTAGTAGTTTAGTGGAAAAGTATTATAATGAAGGTGGCAACTAAAATATAAAATATTATTTTCAAATTTTATAGAAATGTGGACATTTTTTAGCATGGGGCACTGGGCGCCTTAATGGACATTATTTGACTATTTATATTGGAAAACTAAAACTTCTAGATGCTATTGAGAATGATCTTGAAAAAAACCAAAAAGTTATTTTCAGCATTCATTATTAGAACTGAATAATATATTTTACATGTGTGCCTACAGTTGTTACAATAGATAAGGCCATTATTTTATTTTTAATTGATTTAATGGAGTTTTTAAATAGGTATTCTTAACATAAAAAGTCATTAGACATAGTTGGTTTTTAACAATGAGGTAATGAATAATAGATATGTAATATACTTGTAGTCACTTTCAACCTTCCAAAATTTCAAAATAATTTTCATACTATTGTACTATTATTTATTTAAATTATTTCATATAAACTAAAGATATATTATTTTAATTGACTTATTTACAAAAATATATTACAGATGTCATGCAATTGGGAGTCGTAGTGAAATCACTGGAGCTTGTTTGGTAACTCAGATACATACGATTCTAACTGAAAAGTCTTCTATTATACATAATATGCAATCTGATGATGATGATGAACTTAGTTGTAAGCAATGGTTTTCAACTGCTGTTCCTTGTTTGTGTAGTATTGACACTAAAAGGTTAAAACCAAAACAATTATTTTGTGGTAAATATACAACATTTAATTATTAATTCAGACTGATAGGACATACAACTGTATTTATTAAACATACCTAAACTTATTGTCTTATTTCTGAATTATGTTTCAGGGTATATTTATTGAAACTAGAAATTTCACATAAGAGGACGTTACACCCGCCTGTGTTGTCTCCGTCTTTCAAATGTACAACATAGAAAAAACTGTTTTGCACGGGAAAAAACTGAGAAGGCTACAGTCATAACTAAGACACAAGATTTGCACCACGTAAAAATGAGAACTTTAGCTGTGCAACGTTGTTTTTATTTTTTCGATATCACTTATATGAAAGAAGTTCTTACTGTTTCAAAAACCATTTTTGGTTGTATTTTTGAAACTTGAAAAATTTTTTTCACATAAATGATATCAAAAAAATAAAAACAATGTTGCACAGCCAACGCTCTACTTTTTATGTGGTGGAAATCTCATTTCTTAGTTATGAATTTAGCCTTCTTGGTTCTTTCCCGCGCAAAACAGTTTTAGGTATGTTGTACATTTGTAAGACGGAGACAACACAGCGGGTGTAGCGTCCTCATAAAAGTTATTATAGTGTGTTTTATTATAACTGCGACCCGATGCAATCGCGCCTTGTGGTGTTTTTTCATTAGGGTTTCTAAAACTAGCGTGTAATAATGCACGGCAAATTTAAAATTAAAAACAAATATTTTACACATTTTCTCGACTTCTGGTCTGAGACAGCCGCCACAAAGCTCGTTAGTGTCGAGTCGCAGTTATAATGAAACACACTATAGTCTATTTATAAAATACTTATAGTTTTATAAGGACTTATAATTTTTTTATGGGATAAATTAGATGTATTAATGATTGATGCTTAGTAGGTTTAGCGGCTAATAGGATGTCCTTGGTTGATATTAGGTAATTTGTAGTGAATTGTACTATCTCGCATTTGAAGAAGTTTTAAGTTAAGTTTTGGATGGTAAGAAGATTATTAAATGTGGTGACGATGGACTGGTTTTTTAAGATATTTATTATATGGTCATATTCAGCGTTTGATGCAAATGGTGTTGTGTCTTGTTGATGTCTACTTTTCTACATTGACAATATTCTTCAGTTTATTATATATATTTTTCTCAGTTACATTCCCAATATTTCTTGCTTTTTGTATTATTGACTTATTTTAAGTATTTTATTTTAGAAGATTTGGATATTCTATTATTATAGTTAAGAAGTTCAAAAAATAATTTTTAAAATTCATTAATTAACTATATTTTACAGGAATTATGATTAATACTTAATATTATATATACTTAAATACATCGTATTAAGCTAATTTTGATATTTATAAAAATAAAAAATGTGTGATAATAACTAAAAGCAATGCTCAAGTCTCTACAAACCTGAAAAATAAATAATACTTTATCTTTTCTTAAGCCAAAGTCTTGTTTATGAATCTCATTTGAGTCATAACTCATAAAAAGCTTAAGACTTATTCTTAAGCATGCAATACTTATTCTTAAGCATCGACTATGAATACGGCTCTAAGTATTATGTTATTGACTTTTATAATTGTTTTACATAGTTTCATGTTAAAGATATTAAATTTTACCTTTAGATACTTTTTAGCACCTATGTCTTATATCTAAGTTTTCATAGTATTCTATGTTTTATTTTAATTAGATAATGGACCAGTTAAAAGACAAGATGAGAATGAAGAATCAAAAAATATGAATGGTAATCATAAATTTCAAAAATTAAATTACCTAATATTAGTTGTTAAAGAAATGTTTTAGCCTTATTGTGAACTTTTTCACCGCTACACTATTTATGCTCTGCAAACAAAATACATATATATATATACATATATTTAAGCATTTTTAATTTTAATTTTGAGATCTAAATTTACTTTATTATTTAAGTTTAAAATAATTTGAGCCAGCTGTTCCTTAAATTGAACGGTTACCGGGAAATGATAATATTAAAATATAGAGGAACGTAAAGTAAAGCAGTGAAAGGGTTAAAAATTTAATTATAGATAGTATGGAAAATTCTTTAAGTTAAAATAATGAAAGAAGAAAACTAAATATTATGAAATGCTATAAAATAACTAATATTGTGTTTGTTTATTTTTGTCTAATGATTTTAGGCTATGACTCCGATGATGATGTTTTTTCGAGTGCCCCTACGAGTCCATGTAGTGAATATTCTTCATCAGATGAATCTGACTCATCAAAAATTATGTTTCATAATGCTGAACGTGATTTTTCTTACCTATTATTTTCAAGGTAATTATTTTAATAACAGTTTGGATTTTGAACAAAACAATTCAATTTAGTTTTACAATTAAGATTAATATTAAATGGTTTTCTGTTTTGTCACGGCCTCATAGACTAAACATCTAAACTGTCTCCATCTATCTTGATTTTGTCCTAGCACATGTCAATTTGTGTTCGGTTGGAAGTCCGCAACATCTCCTCGACAAGGTCCTCCCAGCACAATCGCATTTCCCTCTTGGATTCTCCTGTGAAACCATCTTCACCGAAGCTTCTGGTTTCCTCACAAACAACCTGCCTATTCCAGTCTTATTACCCAGATATTAGAATTGTGTAACGTTCTTGAAATTATAGGATCTCAGTATCTCACCTTTTAAGTCTCTTCAGCATGTTTTCCTTTCCCTGTCTTCTGGTTTCCCTTTATTCTGTTTTTTTTTATTCATTTATACAAAGTCCCAGTGGCGAGTATAAAACCAATAATTGGTGCTGCCCAAATAATTTTAGGTGACCTACCCCTCTTAATATTTTTATACCTACTGATAAAATGTAATATTTTCCTCCTATCATTACCCTCCATCCTGTATTTAAGGTGTTGCCTGAGCAACACTTGGACCCCATGTACACGCTACTTCAAAGGCCTACTTTCTTAGCTGCTCTATGGGTATTATGTATATGTTTCTCACTGTATTTAATAACTATATAATTATGAATTCTCTATCAACACCATATTGTCTACATACTCTAAAAGATTTTTTAACGTTCTGCATTACTTTTATTATATTTTGAATGATAGTTCATAATATAGTGTATATGTTATTAAGATTACGCTCTAATTTTTTTTCACAACAAAAATGTAACACTTATTTTATTAAGAAGACTTTATACCCACATGTGTTGTCCCGTCTTACAAGTGCATAACATGGCAAATTTTACGCTCAGCAAAACACGTGTAGCTCCGTTAATTTAAAAATTTGAGTAAATTGACCTCTTATAAAATCTAAAAGTAAGATTATTATCTAGACAACCTCATGGGCTTTTTATTATATGTTAATTTTAAAGCGAGTTATGAGTACTTTAAAATGTACAAACAATTTACAATTTTAAAATACTCATAACTCGCTTTAAAATTAACATATAATAAAAAGCCCATGAGGTGTCTAGATAATAATCTTACCTTTATATTTTATAAGAGGTCAATTTAAATTTTAAACTAACGGAGCTACACTTATTCTGCTTTGCGTATAATTTGCTATGTTACGCACTTGTAAGACGGAGACAGCACATGCGGGTATAACGTTCTCTTAAGAACAAAAAATGTGAAATTTGGCATATTCTGTCCCAAAAGAGAAGACACCAGCTTTGTGCAACACAAAATGAGACTAGTTGTAGCTCAGTCTTTTCTATTGGGAAGAAGTATATTGTTTGAATTATAATAAAATAATAAATATTGTATAATAGTTATTAGTTTTGATGATTTAAAAAAAATTAATGTTCCATAATATGTGAAATATATTTTTTCAGCGATGTACCTATAGTTCATGATTATGAAATATTTGATGCCATTAATGGTATAAATGTAGACTCCAACAAATATCCATGGCTATATAGGTGGTTGTATTCAATGAATGACTACAATAATCTAAACAATCTGTGATAAAAAATTAATGTAACGTATATCTTTTTATGTGATGATTTATTATTTAAGTAGACAATACTATATTTTATTCAATTTGTAATGTCTTTATAAGTTTTTATAATAAATGTAAATACAAAGCTAAATTTGTGCTGTTTATATTTTGAATTATTTTGAGTAACTCAGTGTTTAATTTTTTAATATTTTATTTAACCATTTGATCTGTTTTTTTTTCAAATTTTAAAGGGTAATTTTTGATAGTGTTGCTCATGAAGTCTAATCTAAGATCACTAATTATTCTACATTTACACTTATGGGATTAAATTGTATTGTAAATTTTAACGTATCATAATATAACCAAATAGAAATCTGATATTATAATATAGAAATGTTTTTGACACAAATCATTTTCATGATTCGTGAAGTAAATACATTTTTTATTAGTCACTTAAAATATTTTTATATATTATTTATATTAAGTATATATTTCTCGATTGAATTGAATAATTCAAATCGATCAATAATAGTTATTTAAGTAAATTGTTACCGTAAGACTTAATTTACAATAATGCAATTTTTTTTTTTTAAATACAGCTTATTGAATTGTTTAGTTATCTTTTAAAAATAATTAAATGTTGTTGAATGATTTAACAAAGAAAAATAATTATATATTGTTCTTCAAATAATACCATTGCTATTAAAAATTATTAAGATCAGGGTAAATTTTTATTGGTGTTAATGTGGTTTTATGAAATAAATATAATATTATATCAAATATATTTTAAATCAGTTTTTTTCTTTTACAATATTTTAAAATTATTAATATTTAATACTAAGAACTTGCAACTATAGAAAATTTATTGTAATAAATATAACAAAAAGCATTATGGTACAAATTAATTAGTATAATTGTTGTACTCTAAAATGTTAACATTTTGATTGGATCCTGTTTTTTCCTTTCTTCTAACCTGAGTCATGTTATACAATTTTGTTAAGTTACTTATTTCAATTTTATTGGCTAATCGATAATATAATATTTATTTGTTAAGTTAACTTGTTGATTAAAAATATAGTTATTTTGGATACTTAGTACTATACAGTATATAGCAGGAAGACGAAGACCTGACAAATGAAATAACTTTTGTTCTAATCGATATTTTTTTTTATTTTTATCATAACTTTTTAGTAGGCAATCTGTTACAAAAGTTGAGCAATAAGCTTATTAATTTGATAAGACAGATGGCGGAGGCAAAAGCAGGAACTAGATTTTAGGTTGTGTTCAACATCGCATTGACCCCAGAAAGTATAGGAAAAGCAATGATCCGGTCCACAACCAAGTCGGATGCAGTAAAAGTAAACTGTCCGCAGTCCGGGCCCAGAAAGAAATGGATGAAAGGCAGTACAAGCAGCAATATAATCTAATTAATTTTTGTTTAATGTAGCCATGTCAAAATGTATAAGATTGTAATGTATATGATTATGTAACTGTATATCATACATAATACATTAGGTAATTATAATATAGGTAGGTAATATATTATGTACCTACATGTTTATTTCAATAAACGATTGTCATCAGGGCCTCAGGGTCAGGGGTAATAAGTAGTGTGAAGCACAGGCAAACCGTTCGCCCCTGTTGAACGATACTGTAGATTGTAGTCAAAGTATTTGAGTAGTATTTGAAATACTAGGTATACAATTAAAGTATTTTAGTAGTACCTATCTTAAATACTTAAAAAAAATGAATTTGAGTATTTACTCAAGTACTTTTTAAAAGTATTCTTTACAGGACTGATTGTAGAACACTAGAACCTGGGGTAATGCACCTACTCGGGCTACTAGAAGTCTAGAACCCAGTGTTTAGTGTTTGGAAAGAACGCGTTCAAATACGAAAGAGACGTTATATACTATACTTAGGTACTAATAACTGAGGTAGTTAGGTATTTGTTGTTACAATTTATAATAATAATATTATTTAATATAGTGTATCTAACTAGTAAGTAGTAGGTACCTGTATATTATATACCTACAACTATAGATGTAACTCAGATGTAAGCTTGGTAAATGTATAGGTAAATATTTTTTTATCAATAATGGGACACCTAAAATTAAACATCATAACGAGACGAATGTTCAAAAGTCACAACCACAGATATATAATATTATATAATTATTATAATATACTAATATACACAGAGCCGTGTCAATCAATTCAGCGGCCCTTCCCTACAATTTGGGCCCCAGCCCCCAGGTAGCATATTAAGCGCAAATAAAGGCGCTTTTACAAAACTATGGCGTCCGGGGGTAGTTGCCCCCCCCCTTAACACGGCTCTGAATATACACCTATATAATATATTTATATATAGGTAATAGGTATAATTATATTATAATTTATAGTCGATATAAACTATAAACATATTATGTAATACGTCCGAACGTTCAACACGCCCACCGGCCACCACTACTGATAGTGTATTATAATTATTAATTATTTATTATACTACCAAATATTATAATAAGTTATCACTAGGTACTAATTACCATCACAATAATTAATGAAATTATCGACATCGTATCTATTGGTTATCGTCACGGACTAAGATATCTTAGTCCGTGGGAAACTGGGAACGGGCATCGGACAGTTGGGTCCCCGAGATAACAGCCGTTTTAATCCACAGATTTCTATATATTTCTATATATTTCTATATTTAGTATAGAAGTCTGTGTTTTAATCACAGACTTCTATACTACACTAGATAAGGAACTCTTATACAATTTACATTGTTACAAGTGAAGCTCAGCTGTGAACGGCCGCCATTTTGTCCGTTGGCAAAACATTTCATTTATTATACAAAATGTATTAGGAATAATATTTTTTTTAACGGTCAAATAAAATAGTAAATGTAAAATTACTTATATAAAATATTTTTTTTTTTTTGTAAACTAAATGTTTAAAAATAATAAAATACGATATAAAATAAATCATAATATCATCTTATTTGTCATATGAAATACCATACAATTGCCAACCGACCTTGAAGCTTCATTTCATGATCCGGAGTTCGCTATCTAGTAATATATAGAAATCTGTGGTTTTAATAAGCATTATTTATCAGATTAATCTCATGGAATAAACGCTTAAATTGGGGACCAACTAAAATGTAGGAGTACCAACTTAGAAATACTAACATTCCCAATCCATTTCAATTTTTATCCCAAAATTATGTATTTTCACCACGGACAATCCTGTATGTCAAGACGGACAATACACAGGCTTATATATAACAAAGATTGAAGCAAAAATTGCCATTTGCCATTTGGCTTGCCAGTTGCCACCACGTTTCACTGATGTTGGTGATTTGTCAATATTAAGTCGCCACAAACTTCTGGGAAGAGCTTGGAGTGAGCAAGTAATTATAGATGTACTATGTTAGTTATCAGGTAAATTTAATAAAAAGTGAGTGAGATTTGTCACAGTAAACAATCTTTAAATTAATATCAGTAAAAAAAAAGAAAACTTAGAATCATATTATTAACATGATATTCCACACGGGATGGTGACAGTTGGGTGTTGGGTCCCCGAGATAATTACTTGCACACTCCAAGCTCTTCCGAGAAGTTTTTGGCGACTTGATATTGACAAATCACCAACATCAGTGAAATGTGGTGGCAAACCAAATATCGCTTCAATCTCTGTTATATATAAGCCTGTGTATTGTCCGTCTTGACATACAGGATTTATAGATTTGCTATCTTGTAAACAACTTCTTTCTGAAGTGATAGTTCCAACTATTTCTACATTAGCCTGTCTGTCTAAATTAAAATTAAAAATGCTGCAGCGCAATGCAAATTCGGAAAAAATTTAAATTTTGCATTAAAAGACAAGTTTATCACTGGTCTAAATGATGGTATCATAAAAGACCGACTTTGTGAAGAAGATTTAGATAAAGAATTAAATGAAATTGTTGAACTTGCGTTAAAAAAAGAAGTGACAATTAAGACAACGCATATTACGGCTGACATACATAAGATTGAAAAAAAATTCAAGAGAACCAGCAACTTCAAATCAAAAGGCGGAGGCGGTCAAGGAGGCACGGTGCAAAACAGCCAAGCAGGTACATCAAAGAAGTCAAGTCAAGGTAAGACAGATTCAAATTTAGCTTGTTTCCATTGTGGAAAAAAGAATCATGATTTTTCTAAATATAAATATAAAAATTACAAATGCAAAAAATGTTCTAAAGTTGGTCATTTAGCAAGTATTTGTAAAAGTAGTGTTGATGTTAAAAATATTGACATTAAGTCAGATGATGTATTTAAAGAATTTGATTTATTTAATGTTAATATACTCTTTTCAGAATAAGAAGGAACCAGGCGGCCACGGACAAAACCGGTTTTGTTACGTAAATCTGGTGCGTTCTTATTCTGAAAAGAGTATAGTAATATTAGTTTTGTACCTCCAGAAATTATAAAAGTTAAAGTTAATGGTATTAATGTTGAAATGGGATTAGACTCAGGGGCAACCAGTTCTTCTTTCACTGAAGGTATTTTTAATAAAAAATTAGCACATTTTTCTTTAGAGTCATCCAATGTTAATTTAACCTTTTTTGACGGTTCAACGTCCGAGCCAACAGGTAAATTCAAGGCATTGTTGAGTACAAAGACAAGGTTGTTGAAACAGAATTTATAGTTATAAAAAGTGTCAGAAATGTTATGCCATTGTTTGGTAGAGATTTAATGAAAGCATTCAACATCACATGGTCACAAACAAATTTTGTTAAAGGTGATTATGAGTTATCAAGTTTATTAAACAAATACAGTGAGTTGTTCGATGGTGGTCTTGGTAGAAGGGTTATAGTGTGAGTTTGGAACTAAGTGAAGAAATTAAACCAGTATTTTGTAAGCATCGCACTATTCCGTTTGCACATAAAATGGCGGTAGAGAAAGAATTAATAAAACTAGAGGAAGCAGGTGTCATTAAGAAAAATGATGATTGCCAGTGGGGCACACCTTTAGTCCCAGTT